TGACTTTTTAATTAATTATAGTGATAATTATTTCTAAAATGGGATTGAAAATGGTAAGTGGCTCAAATCCACTCATTCAATGAGTATCCTAAATGCAACCATTGGATGCTTGAAAATTATCAAAATATATTTTCTTCCACAAGTTCATAACAACTCTCATAATTAGAACATCATTTACTTCCACCATCTCCTTCAAAAATTTAGTACATCCATTGATCTAATTTGATTTGATATGAGAGGTGAGGTTTGGTACATTTTAAATATCAAAGAACAAAATCCCTAAGCCCTTCAATTAAATCAACAATTACTATCATGTCACATGAGACACTTATTGAATGAGTGAATTTGTAATACTCATCGAATCCAAATAGCCTCCTAAACTGTCATAATATTCTACTGAATTATTAGTTTTCTTTTTAGTTAGTGTTGAATTTGTTTCCATGATATCAAACAACTAATTAAACTATGAAGTTAAAATTTTAAATCACCACAAATTTTAGAATTATCCTTAACTAACCTAAATATTTATGTCCATTTTCTTAGATCTAGGTTCTCTTTACCTAAAAATTTATTTATTTATTATATTTTCCAGCTGTTTAATTTAATGATATTGGACTTTCATGGTTATGATATAATACTATATTCAATCAGGAATTGAATTTGATGAGTGGCTTTAGTACAATCACTCAATATGTGTCTCATGTTGGAAAGCTACGTGGGATTGATTCCAAATCAACTACAACATGATAAGGAAAATTCACCCTAATAGCCCACTTGCCCTCTTGATTGCAACTCCCTTGATTCTTCTATTCACATCTTAAGGGATTGTAAGGAAGTTTGTGAAGTATGGAAAAACTTATTCAATCCTACAAAGCTTAATTCTTTCTCTCTCTATGTGTAGGATTATATACTTTGGAACCCTAAAAATGAAGTAGGAAGCTTGAGCACTAGGAAAATGCCTTAATTGGCTCCCTTTCCTGTTGGAATATATGGAAAGCGAAATGCAAGAAGATCTATACACTGAAGATGACATCCAGGATAGTCACATTGCTTTCTTCTGTACTCAAAAAATTATTAACAACCTTAGATTTTGATAAAAAAATCAATCATTTGAATAAAAGTGATACTAGATGTAAACCTAGATGGAGCCCTCTAACATTTAGATGGAGTAAACTCAATATTGATTGTTCTATCAACATCAATGGTGTTATTGCTTGAGGTGTCACCATCAATGACAATAAGATAGTAATTGGATCAAAAGTTTTTCAAAATGTCTCAGCTATTATCCTAGCATTTCAACTGAGCTCATAGAAATTTTAGAAGGTCTTAACCTTTGTTAGAATGCTAGGCTTCCTAAAACAATGTCTACTATAATTATATGGAAGCTTTATCACTCATCGAGCTTAACTACCCAAACAAACACCCTCTCTATGAAATTATTAGGAAAATTAGAGATTTCACTATGAAGAGCTCAATGGTCACTTTCAATCATGTTACATAGAAGCAAACAAATGTGTTGACATACTTGTTTACTAGGCTTCTTGGGATAACCTTAACATTAAAATTTAGACTGTGCACTGTTGAACTGTAGAAACCTAATGGTTTTAGATTCAACATGGTTTTTGTCTTTTGTCACAGTTTTTTCATGACATTGTATTAAAAAATAAAGTGTCTCACGTGGCATGGTAATAACCATTTGATTGAATTGAATGACTGTTAGAGATTTCGTAAATAATATTCAGAAACTATTGAATATCAAATTTTTGGAGGGGATAATATATGCAAAGAGTATTCTAACATAACTGACGTGTATATCAGTTACAGTATTGAACATATTCCTGTGGTTTTTGTCTCCTTTTCACTTCTTCAATACAAAAGTCAACTCACCGTGGTGGATATATGGTATCCTTCGCAGTTCTAGACGGGATTTAGAATTCAGCACCACGAGAGTGACAATTAGATATCTAAAACGACAGAAGACCGTAAGGTAAATAAGTCTGAGTCTCAAGTTACCTGAGGAACCGAAAAAATGAAAAAAAAAAAACAAAAGTTGAAGAAAATAGGACTAGATTTAGATGAGAAGAGACTGAGTATTTTATTTTATTTTATTAATTTTGGTGGGGTTGAGCGGAAAAATACAAGAACTGGCATTGAATATTGATGCGAACGAGCATTGCGGGAGGACACGTAATTTTTTAAGGTATTCGTTTTGTTTGGTTTGCCGTTTTCATTGGGTATATTATGATGCATATGCCTTCAAGTTTCAACTTGTTGGGTTTATTTTTAAATTTAGGATGATTAACAAGCCTGAATTATTAAAAAGCCAAAGGTGGGGGATTAAATAATTGCGGAAGGGCTTCAATTTACAGACAAGGAAACAGATGAGTTTTTTATTGTTTATTAATAATAAGTGGAGGTCTTTGTCAGACAGAATATGACTGTGGAATCTCTAGGAGTCGGCTTTTATTTTTTATTATTTTAATTTAAATCCATATTGTGAATAAATTATATTTGATTTTTTTTTTTTTTGTTGTTGGTGAATTTAATAAACTAATCTTGTGGGGATGAAATGGCTTCCCGGTTGCCAAAAGGTTAAGTAATTAGCATCTGGACTCACAGGAATAGGAAGCTAGTCTTCCATGTGAGGTTTGACTCTGTTGGGTGTCAGTCTCGTGTCGTCAGCTCCACATTTTCAGCCCACAAATTGGAGCCTCCACGCCAGTCAAGCAAAGTAGAGTGGCCTCTTTTTTCATATGGGGTACGAATATTTTTTATATTCAAGATAATCATGATTTAAGTATTGTCACTTATGTTCAATAATAACCTAAGTGAGTTGACTGATAGAGATTTTATCATAGATTCTTTTTTAATAATTTAACTTATATGTATCAACCTATTCACATTGGCGACTCTTTATTCCTTTTCTTGAAACTTACTTTTGTAACTTCCCATTTTCTCCTTGCTAAATTTTAAATGAACTTAGAATTCAAAAGTGAGACAGAAATTATATCAACTTCAAGTTGTCACTTTAATTTTCCCTGCAAGTTGTCAACTTGTTTTACAAAAAGGTTGCACGTGCAAGGTTTATTGACTTCATTTTCTCCGGCCAAAATTTGCAAGTTAGCTTAGTTCCTAGTTATGATATTATATATTTTTAAGTATTAAATATAAAAATGAAAGACAAGTTGAATATTGAAATTCATAAAAGTGGTCCCGAGATGTGAATAATGTGACTCAGGTAAGTTAAAAAGAAATTAATTATTCCGACAAAAAAGAAATTAATTATTCCGATTTATTCAAAACAGCAATCATTTTTGGTTGTAAAAACAAGGAAGGATTATAATTGACTGATTAAGTCTCAAAAGAACTATGAGTTGTAAAATTTAAGTTTTCAGTAAATAATTTTTTTTAAAATATAAGTTGTAGATATTGACTTAAATATTTGTAAACGTAGGAGTCTTAATTACAAATAAAATTTTTAAATTAAATTTCAAATATAACTTTCATTTTATAACTGAGATCCTATCCTATTGAATCGATATTTATAATTTAATTTTTATTTTTTAAATTGAACCATTATTAATTTAATTATGTGGGACTTAAATGTTATTAGAAACAAAATGTGGACCAAAGAGACACGGTCATAATATTAAGAAAGAATTATACACAACTCTCACTTAAGATAATTAATTATTTTAAGGTCTATTAATAATTAAATTTAGGATATGTAATCCATTACACACACGTCTCATTTTTTTAAGTTTAATTGTCAGTAAAGTTAAAATAATTAATTGTTTTGAATGAAATTTGTGCATAGTTCTTCTTAAAATTAAAAAAACCAATATAATTTCTCCCAAGACTGGATCTGATGAATTTCTTTAATTGTTTGTCAGGCCTCTCAATTTTATATTTGGACTTCTAAAAAATTAGGACAATGTCACGGTCAGCAAAAAGGATCTTGCTGAGGATGGACCTAGAGGAGATGGGCTACTTGGCCGTGATGTAAGTGATCCGATTCAAACAGCTGAGGACAATGGACCCAGGACAAGCAAACGGATTCTAAGTCCCCCTCGGAAGTCACCCACGTTGGCTTTGGATGAGGAGGAATAAAAAGGAAATAGTCACAAGGAAAAGGGCAAATATTTTGTTATCATGGTATCCCCCTTTGACATTTTTTCCTCCTGGGCAGACGCTCTGTGTTAATTTATATGGTACTTACTAATTTTTATATTTATTTTTATCTTTCTGTCCTTATTAAAATTAAAAAAATTATAAAAAATAATTATTTTTCTTCTCATTAGAGTGTAAAAGTAGTAACTTATTAAATTTTAAGATAAAATTAATAAAATTTAAAATTTTTCTTAATTCTAATAGAACATGCTAGAAATAAGTTATAAATTAGACTAGGAGAATACATGACTTGGTCTGTTTATCATTTTGAACTTTTTTCTCCCGATAATATTAAAAACTAATAACATGCAATTACCTTTTCTAACAATTCCTTGATTTTCAATACCTTATTTATTTACTTCAGATTGGCTCTTGTTTTTTTATTTATTTTCTCATGTTAATATATATGAAATTTCTAAGAACATGCAACGGTTTCCTATTATACACTTCCTCCGTTAAAAAATACAAGGCATTTTTTAAAGAGTTGGATCTTTAAAAATGTAAAACATTTTTAGTCTTTCGAGATGTAATCATTATTTTTTAAAAAAAAATCCCTATTAATAATGACTTTATATTTATTATAAAGTATTTAATAGTGGTAAATATGAAAAGATAAAGTTAGTTTGAAAGTAAGTAATTACTTTGTTGAGGTGAGATTTGATTAAAAATGCCTTACATTTTTTAATAGAGGGAGTATAAACTTTATATATAAGTACAGTTTATTTCCTTTATATATAAGTAATACTATATACCAATTCTCAAACGATAATAATGTCAAGTTATCATGGAAGAAAGTTAAAATAATACAATCTTATCTTCAACACAGAACATTATATAACAATGTTTTGGAAATTGCGAGTTTGAAAAATTTCACAGCATTCATAACAAACTTGGACAATATAATAGAACAGTCAAATATCAGAAAAGATAAATGCTTTGAAATCTACTACTTCACTACTTGGAGGATGGAAAATATGGTCTGAACAACGGAGAGAATGAGGAGCATGACTCCAGCAATGGAGACAACAAATTGCCACTGTGTACGACAATAATCGCGTCTCAATGCCATCTTCTTCTTTTGCCACCAATGTTCACAAAATTCATTCAACCTTCGACAAGTATCAAGGTATTCAGAATTGAAATTCTCATGAACGACATTTTTCCAGAGACCATTAACCATTGCAGCAACATCATTGGTGTCACCTAAATAGTTGGTGACTATTTTCCTATGAACAAGGACATCCACATCTTTATGGGTGTTGATCAGGCAATCCAACACCATAGCATAGTCAGTAATGTAAGATTCACAGGGATAATGACATTGCTCTAGAGCTATCATATTACGAAACAACTTTTCTGTTGAATCTTCCACAAAAAATTTTGGGATCTCAAGAGTATGTCCAGAAAATTTTAATTCTAGTAAGCACTTGCTTGCGCTTGCCTTCAACTTTATCCCTGCTTCCTGTAGCTCACTTGCACTATACAAAAGAACATGGGTGACCTGTAGAAATGAATCCGTTTTTGGTTTTGTTCTTGGTAAGTAAAACTGTCTAAGAAGATCTGTGAAGTGGTTTATGCTAACATCATTATTGGGCTTTAACTTTTGTACATTAAAATAATCAAAGTACTGACAAGATAGATCAAAAAATGAAGGGAGGTCACGTTGGTCAAGGGGAAAGGCTATATTGAAGAGCTCTTCAATAACGAAGAAAGGAAGTTGATTCTCGAGCAAAAGCAAATCCTTAGTGATAGTATCTAATAACCGTGATTGTGACAGTTTAGCATCGTTGTCAAACTCATAAGGAAACTTTTTCCATCTCGTGAAGAACTCAATGATGAAACCAGCATCTACTAATACCATTTTCACAAGTTCCTCCTCACTAAGTTTGATGTTCTCAGAGTAAGATGCACAAACCTGTTGCGCTGAACGTTTTACAAATTTGCGTAAATGCTTTGAACAAAATTTGTTTGTGCTCTTCCATATCTTGCAGCCTTGGATCACCATAATGAAAGGGGCCAATTGAAATAACTTTTGGGGTGTAAGCCTCTTCATTTAGATGACGGATTGTAAGGGGCACCCTATAGATACAACATGTTGGTAGCAAGCGACCATCTCCGCTATCTTGTATCAGGTTCTTAATATCAACCATCACCTTATCTTCCATCTACATATATCAAGTTTGATTCTAAAAGCAATCAGAAATTGCAGAAGCAAAAATAAAAGCAAGAACAAAATGTCGATCGCAATTAAGTTTCTGAAATCTAAATTATTTTTTTGTTAAGCTATAATAACTGGTTTGAAATCTCACAAATTGTTTATAACTAAAATCTCACAAATTGTTCATAACTAAAACTAAGGCTGACATATATATATATATATATATAGTTGAGATATTAAACGTAGCAAACTTAAAAAAAGGGAAAGTAAAGAGATTACGAAAAGGCTATAGAAATGAACAAAAGTAGAGGATGATATATGCGCATGTTGTTCCGATTCCAAATGATTGGATGGTGAATCTGTGAAAAGAGGTAGGGGGAGAAGTCGTTGCGTTTCAACAATTTCTTCAGAACTCTCACTTCTCAATTCTTTTCCTGCCATGTCCGCCATCTCCGAGCAGTAACCTCAGTGCAGTGCTCTCTCAAGTTGTTGGATTTAATGTGCTTTAGATTCATCATTATGGTCTTCGGTTATTTATAGTAGCCAAAAGTTAAATATTTTGATATAATTTGTTGGCTAATAATTTAGTCCACGTTTTTTTTTTTTGGTATTGTTGTTATGATATTACATATAAAAATGAAGTAATATTAGAAGATGAATAAAAAGCATTTTCGGGAAGAAAAAAGTTTGCACGTCATTTTCCGTCACGATCTATGCCCAACGTCCTATAAAATGATAAGGCGGACATAGTCATATATTCCCCTTATTTTATTTATAAATTATTTTTAATATATTTTATAAAAAAATCTTAAATATCATTAATTTTATCTTAAAATTTAACAAATTTTTATCTCTACCCTCTAATGAGAATAAAAAGAATTATTTTTAATATTTTTTTTAATTTTTAATAAGGGTAAAAATTAATAGGATGTAAATTAATTTTTTCTTTCTACCCTATGAATAGAAGCCAAAAAATATGACAAATAGGTCTCTTGATTTATAGTACTCATCATTCTGGTAAGATCTGGCTAGTCAAAATTAATATTAACGGTTTAAATTTAAAAGTTTAAACATGTAATTTTCCATATAAAAAATTATTTTTTCAGCGTGACAGTTATAAAATCATCTGCATTTTAAACTCTATTTATTAATATAATAATTTTAAAAAATATATAAATTTTTTATCAAATAAAGACATCTGGACGCCGAAATTAGATCCTTCCATAGAGTTAAGGAAAGGTAATATTACAAGAATGAATTTCCAATTTCCCTCTAAGATATAAAATATATATTGTTTATTTTGATCTTTCATTATTTCAAATACTTTAATTCTTAAATTTTAAAAATTATTTTATCAATAAAACATGTTAGTCTTCTATTTTATATTAAAATAGAGCCGATGATTTTGAAAATTCAACTTAAGTATTGCAAGTTATCCAAGTTATTTCTTCTAATTACCTAGCTACCAAATATATTTAGTTTAAAAATCACTTTTCTGTGAAAGTCCCTTTCTATACCCTCTCCTTTTTTTTATTGAGAATAATATTTAAAGTCATTTTAAAAGAATCACTCTAAAAAAAAATAACTTTTAATAATGAATCAAAGTTACGGTCAAAAATTCACTTTTAACAACACTAAAAATCGCCATAAAAAATATATGTCATTGCTAAAAGTTCACCTTTTTTAGCAGCGACATTTATAAAAATAATTTAAAAAATTAAAAAATATATATATAATTACTTTTGGTGACAACATTTATCTCCAAAAAAATATTTTTAAAAATTAAATATAATTTTATATTATATAAAATTATCATTTAAATTATTAAAAAAATTTATTATGAATTATTTTAAAAATTTAAAATTAAATAAAATCATTCAAAAGATATTTATGAAATTAAATTTCTTATTTTATATACAGAATTAAAAAATAATAGTGAAGATGTGCTAAGTTTAATTATTAAATTATTTTTTATTTTATATTATTTATAATCTATTTTTAGACATATATAACTCATATTTTTTTATAAATTATGTTATTAAGCTAGTATTTTAATATAATATTTTAATATAATAAATTAAAATCTTGATGAGTTATCAATGTTTTTAACTTTTAAGAGTACACCGTCCTAAATCCACGCAAAAGTTACGGGAGCATCATTACTGGCTTTATTCATTTTACTTAGGTTCTCATCATCCAAAAAAAAAAAAAAATGTTTCGGGTATATTGACTTTATTGACACCAAACATATTTGATACTCATTTACCATTTTTATTTTTTTTTTGGGTTGTATGATGCCGGATTTTTATTATTTTCCAATTATTTACGGAACAAGCAGAGAAAGAAATTGGAACCGCGAGAAGAGAAAGAACTTGCATAACCAATGGAAATTAAGTATAACAGAAGATGTTAGTTCTTTGGGTGAATTAAGATTCATATCCTCTTGCCTACATTTAATTCTCGGTTCAGGAAAGAGAAAAGGAACAACCATATACTGAACTTACCTCACACTCTGAGGCTTGAACGAAGAGAAGAAAGTCGATCTGCTCTGCTCTCAACAACCACCAACGTTTGTGTCAAACAAGTTGTCTCAGAGGGATAAGGAATAAACATTCGTAGGCTTCCCTGTTAAAAGAGACTATTAATTGTCTTTTTTGCCCTCAATATCCACAGTGAAAGCACCCCTTGTCCTCGAAGATGGCTACAATTAGTACCCCCACTCGTAAAAAAGGAGATCATCTGTAGTCCCCCACTCCCACTTTTTCTCTGTATTCCACTTCTTTGGAAAGTCCCACTTGTTGTCTGCTTGCTGGAATGATTTTTGGAAATTTTAAAATGAGGATGGTAATAATGAATGTATTTCGGATGCATTGAAATTTTTGTAATTTATCATAATCATATGTTTCTAAATGCGCATTGGTATGTAAAGAAGAAGCCTGCTAGAAGATAATAGGATATAATTTTCTTGTAATTTCGGACACGTATTTTTCATGTTTTAGCTTTCAATATGTAATATTGTTTTAATTTTCTTTTATTTCTTTTTTCTTTTTAAGTTTAAGATGTGTTTGGGATTATTTGTCCTTTTATTAAAAATACATATTTATTGATTCTAAATGCTTTTAACCCTGTTCCTTGATCTAACAGATTATTTATTTGTCTATTACTTGTAAGAAAACAGATGTTGCATTATCTATTACTCCCTCCGTTTACAAATATATAATATTTTTAATTAAATCTCACCCTACAATAAAGTTGTTATCTATTTTTTAACTAATCTTATTTTTTTATATTTATCTATATTAAACACCCTACAATACATATAAAATCATTATCAATACGGATATTTTAAAAAAAAGGCAATGATTACACCTCGAAAGACTAAAAATATCTTATATTTTTTAACATCCACTCCTCAAAAAATACCTTATATTTTTTAATGGAGAGAGTACTTTTTACATAGTACAATATAAAATATTATTAAAATCAGTTGAAATCTTAATATCTTCAATTTTTTATATTTTTTAATTATACCCTCAATAAATACTTTTATTATTATTAAAAAATAATAAATAAAATAGGGTATAGTTACAAAAGTAATTATAAAATTTTTTTTAATATCTATATTTTAAACCAATCAAAATTCAAAACTTTTAGAAAAATATTTTTTTGGTTTGGCCTAAGGGAGTAGCCAATATAATATCCTTTGCACAATTGCACGGAGAACCACTTATACGAGACATTGTTGACTAGACATAACAAGGCAAAACAAGACAAATCTCAAGGACCCCAGCTCAAGAGATGTGGACAAAAAATTGCGCAAGGCACATTAACTTGCGAAGACAGCACTATCATTATTATTATTATTTTAATTGCTCTACTGTATCCTCCTAGCCCGATCACTCCTTGTCTACTTTATTCACGTGGCCTTGATCTGTTTGGTTTCTTTTTAACAGGTTTGTGGATAAGGATGCGAATATCAACATATTTTTGTGCTAGTCATATTTAATATTATGATATGAAATAAAACGCCAAGAGTGCTCCGTTTTTTCTATACTCCCTTAATTAAAAAATATAAAATATTTTTAATTAAATATAACTCTTAATAAAATAATTATTTATTTTTAAATTTACATTATTTTTTTATATTTATTCTTATTAAATACCGTATAATAAATATAAAGTCATATATTAAGAAGGGCACTTAAAAAAAATAATAATTATATTTTGAAAAATTAAAAATATCTTATATTTTTTAACATCTAACTCTTTAAAAAATATTTTATATTTTTAAATAAAGGGAGTATGTAATATCATAATGACAACATGAAAACAACAAACTTGAGCAGAGTAACGCTATCATACATAACCGAAGCTCATAATGGATCGAAAGTATATTAATAAAAAAATTAGCCATCAAATTATTTTAACGTGGTGGGGAAAGAATTGAGAACTGATGAGAGTGATACGCGAAGAAATGGTGGAAATGCAACCACTTGTGCAGGTGCGCTCACACCTAATTCTGCATATATTTATCATTCAATCATTTGGGAAGTTGCAACAGGTATGCGTGTCTATAATATACTTTTTTATTCAAAATATAAATATTTTCTCCCAATTAATCTTAATTTAAAATATAAACAATTTGATATATATAATTTTTTTTCTCATTTTAGCTCGTGTTTATTAACCTATATCTTTGTGTAAAGTTATCTCTCACTTATAATAAAGTACATTAATAATTAAGACTAAGAGTAAAATGAGGAATAGTATATATTTTTTATGAGAATGAAGATTTCGTGAATTTTTTATAAAAATTGCTTATATTTTGAACTGAATAGAGTATATTATTAGTGTTGTTAATAAAGGTTGGCTTAATAAGAGCTTAAGGCAAGTTCACAAATTTTAAATTAACCATGTTTTTTTAAAACCTAACCAAGGTAGATGAATAACATAAAATATTCAGAAAGTATTGAATATTAAATTTTTGGAGGGAATAATATATGTAAAAAGTGTTCTAACATATCTGATGTGTTTATCAGTTAAAATATTGAACATATTCCTGTGGTTTTTGTCTCCTTTTCACTTCTTCAATACATAAGTCAACTCACCAAGGTCGTTGGTACCTTCGCAGTTCTAGACAGGATTTAGAATTCAGCGTTACGAGAGTGATAATTCAGCGTATTTTTTTAATGTATTCATTTTGTTTGGTTTATTGTTTTCATTGGGTATATTATGATGCATATTCCTTCAAGTTTCAACTTGTTGGATTTATTTTTAAAGTTAGAATGATTAACAGGCGTGACTTATTAAAAACCGAAAGGTGTGGGATTAAATAATTGGGAAGGGATTCAATTTACAGACAAGGAAACAGATGAGTTTTTGATTGTGTATTAATAATAAGTGGAGATCTTTGTCAGACAGAATATGACTGTGGAATCTCTAGGAGTCGGCTTTTATTTTTTTTAATTTAAATCCATATTGCGAATAAA